TGACGTATCAATATTCCGACTCATATCTAAATCCAAAACAAACGAGAGAGATTGTAATGAATAATATTTTAAATGTAATGATTAAAGCTTATATGATGTAAAAGTACATTACAAAAAAAATTGTGATATTCCGATGGAAAATCCGCATTCAGACTAGATTGGTTGGACGACATGAATGATACTCCGCATTCAGACTGGACTGGTAGATCGGGACGGAGGATCCTCCATGGCATATCAACATGGAAGATACTCCACGTTTATACTTTGATCGACAAGGGTTACAATCGATCTTCCAAGCATTAATCTTGCGAATACGATAATCACTGGCGGATCCAAAATAATTATTTGATGGGGACACTATAAATTTAATAACAAAACTAATTTATTTAATAAAAAATATTTTTACAAAATGTGAAAGTTCTATGTAAAATCACTACAACATAAATGGGTTTATGTAACATAAAAAAAGTGTTACATAATATGTAACGTAATTATTAGTGTTGCAGTTGCTCTTGCTACCTTTTCTCTAAGGTAATACTTTTGGCAAATTTTAATAACACTTAATATATATGTTACATTAACTAAACTTTTGTAACACTTTGATGCATCACTTATGAAATGTTGCATATTATATCTTAAGTAACACTTTCTCTTATTAAATGTAACATTTTTTCTATAAGTCTTTTAATTTTAAATGTAACATTTTACTCTTTAATTGTATCACTTTCAGTTTCTCATTGTAACACTTTTTAATAGTTATGTAACATTTTAAATTGTAATATGTATTGCTTTTTAAAATATAATATAACATTTTTTCTCTATCAATTTACAATCACTATAAATCTCATTCATTATAGAACAAACTTTGAAAAATAAAGATTCATATTGTTAAATATACAATTATGTCAATGTAAGGTGCTTTAACAGCCCTCGGATCTTGAAGCCAGCTGGAAAAAACGCTAGTATCAAAGGAAAAAAATAAAAATAAATTTTGGTACAGTGATTTAAATCTTATTTTAACACAACTTATGAAGTGCCTAATTTCTTAATTAGAACGAGGTTCATGCTGAATAAATTACTGTTTCTCATGTTAATTTTTTATTTTATAAATAAAAATAAAAATTATTAGTTGCACAATTTTAATAATTGATGTTGATCCTAAATTTCTACCTCCTAAATCAATTGTTTACTACTGACTTTATGCCGATAATTGGTAAATGAACTCGAAAATACTACAATAGTCCCATTTAGACAACTATTGTACTGATAAATATATATTATGGTCACAGCCTCACGACTAAATATGTAACCGAACAATTAGAGTCGAGCTGGAGCTTTGGATATTTAAGCTAGCTTCGATTCAAATTTTTATCGAGCCGAGCTCGAAAACTAAACAAGTCTAGAATAAGCCTATAATGTTGGAATTCCTTTAACCTTATTCGAATCAAAATATCGCTTTAATCTCAGGAGCATTCATATTGAATAATTGAGAATCAAAACGGAATAAAAGCAGAAGCATACCATACTTCATTAATAGAGTATTCTTATGTTCTTCATTTTTCTGGACTGATGATGACTGCGAAACGATCTTGTAGGACTGGTATGGTCTCCAACGATCGAAACCTTATAGCAGAAGTATACTTTTTTTTATGTATTCGATATATCTTTCTCAAGTATAAAGGTGAGTGCTTTTAAAGGGAGAAAGCACCCCTTCTGAAATTTGCTCGTATCTTTTCGTCGTTTAGGGCCATAACCAAATAAATAAAATTTGTTTGATTTTCAGTTCAGTCCCTCAACAAACAAAAAAATCTCATATTGGTATCTACACTTTTAAATCCATAATAATTGATACTCTCTTTACTCAAAATTACAAATTAGAGGATCACTTTAATTGAATAATATTATGACAACTATACACATTTAATTTACATATGTTGTCCAATAAAATATTTTTAACAATCTCCCACTTGCAATGACGGAGGTGTATGGGGCCCAGAGGGGTCCGTGGGCCCCCCTCATTTTTTTCAAATCAATATTTTATGTATATATAAAGAAAGTACAATAAAATATGTATACAAACTTAAAAAAATATTTACAATATATTAATAATTAAAGCTTATTTTTATGTTAATTTAATTTAATTTAATAATACTATTTAGTTATTGGAAAATGTACTAACAATCCTTATATTTTACATTTCTAGATAAGTTTTTTAAAAATATTTATAATGACTTTTGGTTGCTTAATTGTAAATCTATTTAGTAATTTATAACCCAATATATCGTTGGATTGTTAATTTTTTAATATTGGCATTTTACTTTTTTTTTTTATGTGTAATCACATGTTTTTATTTTCTTCTTA